CTCGGTGATTCAATCGTAAGCGACCACCGATCAACGACCATCGATGCATCGTCGTTCTTCGGCCCGATTCCCGAGCGTAAACAACATTTCTCCGCCCCTCGATCTCCAGTAAACAACGTCATTCCTTTTTCTTTACTGCGTCTTGATGTTTCGACAGTTTTAAGTCTCTTAATCAAAGGATTCCTGAGCTTCATTGTCTGACACTCTCTTTGGTTTTACTGAGATGAAACTCTTCAAATGGCTTTTTGTGACGACGTTTCGGGCCATAAGCCCTTCCTCAAGTCTTCAAGTACACTCATGCTAATCGAGTTCAACAATCGATCTAGATGCAGCAATTATGATAAATTAAAAGACGAAACGAAGAACCTTAACAAATGCCGAGCTTGGAAGAATTGAAATAGGGAGCAGGTTGGTCCTGGGAGTCTCACTACAAATATTGTGAGATGAATTATGCAGTCTTTCTTACCCTCATCCCACAACTTCAGCAGCGATATGTGAACTGCGAGGACCAACCCGTTCTCTAACCTTTGTAATTCTTCCCAATTTGGCCATCAACGTAGGTTGTTAAATTATTCTCGTTTTCAATGTATCATAAGTGTTTCATTCAGATCGGTACGTTGATGTACAATAAACATCTTTGACTTTGCAGACTTGAGAAAAAGCTTCAGGTTCAAATGTCACCCATAAAGCTCTTTGGAGAGTTACATTTCAACAAAACGCAAAGAAAGTGTCAAGGCTGCTCCAAATTGCTTTACATCACTATGGAAGGGTTGGTCCAATTATTGACTCTTGGGCGGGGAGGGGGCTCGTTCTGAATGCTGTTATTGTAATCATGAGCGCAGCTGGGTGACTGACTCTTTACTTTTATTCTAAGGTGAACTGGAATCCCAAGACAAGTAAAAAAGCTATTGTGGTGGTGCCACTAATCCCAAGCTTTCAAACTAAGAGCTCGAAGCTATCATATAGGTCGTTCTTCGCAAGAGAATTTAGCACTATGGACGAGGATTTAGGGGAGGTTCATCGCTGATAAGAGAAGGGGTTAGCTCCAAAACTGAGGCCAGAAGGGAATTAGTGACAATGGGAATGTTTTCAGAACAATAATAGGAAGCAAGAGTACTGAGAACCTTGTGGCTCCGCGCCAATTCCTTCGATTCTGTTGCCATTCACCCTCAGCATACGAACGAGACTGAACCCTCCGCAAGTAAGTTGGCCCTGTGATCGGCCAACATGCTAAGTTTCTCCGTACACGCAAATGCAGAAGAGAGAAGTTCGTCAGCGACCAAGGATCATCTCCTATAATTTCCAATTAATCGAAGTTTACGTGAAGCGAAAGCGCCATCCAATTTTGTGGTGACCATTCGGAGCACAGC